TTCTCTATTATACAAAAGTAAAAAACAATGTTAGTTCTCGTTTTTTCCGTTTGGGCGGGGCAGTGGGTTGGGGGATGGGCCAGGGCAGGGAGGGATTGTGTTTGGGCGATGACAAGCTTTTTGCTTTTTCTGGTGGCAGCACCTGAAACTAGTATAGTAGATATTGTTGCCTAATCATACCTTTTCATTTTCCCCCTAATAAAGGTGGTGTCTGAGCGATCTTGTGCGCAGTTCAACCAATTCACCAAACACCCGCTATCTCCCGTTCAATACCCTTGGGGGCCTTGTGAACTTTCATGCTCGGAATAAGATAGAAAAATTTACATCCATGCTCAAGTATATCTGTAGCTTGGTGTTTAGGATTTAGTTTATGGTGTCTAAAGATTATCAGAACTTATTTAGGAGTGCTTTAGCAAGCAGTGTTTATTTCTGCTTGCTATTGTTAAGTTGGGTAACTTTTGTACAGCTGAGTCATCAAAAAGGATGGTCAAGGCGGCACCTCAAAATACATTGTCTGATGATGTTGAGAGTAAGTTATATTACTAATTTCTTTTATTCTCTTTATTAGTTCTTTCCTTAATGAATAACTTAATTCTGGTATGCCATTATTTTACAGGGAATGAGAAGTCATAATGTGTACGAGGACTGAATCTGAATGGTGCTGCCCCTCACCCAAGCAATTGAGATAACAATTTTGGCGCGGGAGGTCTTCTGTGCCCTTGCTCACCCGCTCAGAGCTGCATATCCATAGAAAACAGTTAAAGTGTCCATTGTGAACACGATCTAGTGTCCTTAGGAAAAATAGGTGGCATCATTTTTATGGTAATTTGGCATACAGATGATAGGAAGAAATGTCATTACTGGCCCAAGTTTTGGTTGAGAAGTACGAGCAGGAAAGAAAACTTCATAATGATGTAATGTATCTTTTTTAAGGGAGTTTTGAGTCCTTACAATGTAATTTATTATTTTTTAAAAGGAGTTTTGAGTTACTTCACAGGATAGGTAACTTCAATACGATGTAATCTGCTGCTTTATCAAAAGGAGTTTAGTGGTCTTGGGTGTCATTATGTTGAATTTAATGGGAGTTGCCCAAAAGCTTTTGAAATGTAAAGAGTTGGATTTTTGGGTGATAAAAATGTCTCATGTTTCTTTCAGACCCATATGGCTGGAACGTTAGTTCGTAATTTGAATCAACATCTGGTTATAGTGAAACAACTTATCGAGTTGTGTACCAAATTGGAAAATTAAGCGTATCTACACAACAATAACAACAACGACAAACCCAATGTAATCTCACAAGTAGGATCTGGAGAGGGTAATGTATATGCAGACCTTTCCCCTACCTTGTCAAGGTAAAGAGGTTTTTGATAGACCCTTAGATCAAGCAACAGTGAAAATAGAATAACAAACAATAACAACTATGCAAAATAGTACCAGTACGAACAGGAATAAGAGAAATACAAAAATAGTACCAGTACTACTGGTAAGACTAAGAGACACTAGCGACTACCTGTTACAATTTGTAATATACAGTTACAAAGTCATTTGCTTGTCTTACTAGGATTCTATTACATACACACGAAAACATAAAAGTCCTTCCGACTGGAGCTACAACAATAATGACCAAAACAAAAATTAACATACCTTAATCCTCAACAAAAAAATTACTCAATTAATTAACTATTTCTGTCATAATATCGGCAAGTTAAGGGGCAGATCAGATATGATCCTGACAAAGCACTACATCCTCTCCATGCTTTTGGTTATTTTTGAAACAACGAAAAATCGACCCACTCTTTTCATGTATTTATGAAGAGTGCAACAATCAAAACAATCCTATAATGCAATACAAAAAAGATTCTACTCCAACGGAAAACATGATGGCCAAGATAGCAAGCTTTTACAGCTCCTGACAGGAAGAAAGTGGATTAAGAAGGAGCAAACAATACAGGTGTCTGCTCTAAACCTCTTTTATTTCCATACTGCGTCCAGTTTTAACCCCTTTTGCTAATATCGCCATCTTACAGGTCAACATAAGATCAGAATTCCGGTGCTTGTGGATTTAACATCACCCAAGCCTATTTGTTCAAGTGCTCTTCAAGTCGCTCAATTGCAGCACCTACACCACCCTTCACTTCATTGCCATCTGTTGTCCCAGACCCTTCATTGGCTTTCTCTACAAGCTTCAAATGAAGCCACCCTGATAGAACAAGTTTGTTTTAGTAAATCTGCAAGTTCTCATTTAACACAGGAAAAGCATAGCCCACCCAAAAGCTGGTCCCTACTTCACATGATTCTTCATGCTTAAGGAATACATAAGATGCATGAAGTCCTCATAATTTCAAAATGTAAACCAGGCTGCCTAAGCAGAGATGATAAGTTCAATCATTTATAATCAACTGAAGTTACAAAGTTTTAAGTTTTAGTAGCATCAGCAATACTATCAGGTTAAGAACTTTGAGTAAATAAGAGCAATTGAATAGATCGAATAAGCAGGTCATTCTATTACCAAGAGGGAAGCAAACTGCAGCACCCAAAGCAGAACCTAACATCACATTTCTCGCACGCCAATGGAGTGATCCAGGCACTGGAACCATAAAAACAAAGAGTGAGTTGGGGAGGAGATAATCTTAAAAAGGTTTGATGCCCAAAATTTGCCACTTACTAATTAGACCAAATGTTGCAGCTGTAGCAGAACCAGCTCCAACAACATTATAAACATCATGCACCCCACGCTTTTCAGCAAGCAGATTCTGTAATCCATAGAAAGCTGCAGTAAACATTCCAAGCCGTATTCCGCCAACTATGGAGCCACGAGTGACTCGTATAAATCTTTTTTCCATAGCATCTCTCATGAGCCGATACTGTTCACGCTTATCTGGTGTGCTCCCAAGCTTTAACATCACCTCTGCATCCTTGCTCTGATAAAAGAGAAGAAAGACCCATGAACACTAGAGGAACCACCCATGCAGAAAGAAAAGAATTTCATATTCTTCCTTTTGGGAAGGGAGGACTAGGGAAATCCTATTTATTAGTTGCAGCTTTCCTCCAGACCTCTGGAACAAAAGCAGCAGGAAATCAAATTTTCTTCAAATGGCCATCTACATTTNATCTCGTCTGCCCTCTCTCTCATGGCCCCGCCTGTCCTCTCTCTCCCTAGCATGCATACCCTCTATCCTCCTAGCAATGCTCACCACCTGCTGATAAGAAATATCCATCTCCAACTCACGAGCCATGCTAGACCTGATGCTGGGAATAAGCCCCTCAATAAACCGGTGAACCCTCTTGCGAATAGTAGAAACCAAAGCTGGGGCATGTCTAGCCAAGCTGGTGTAACGGACATCATACTCCGAGACAGTCATAGTACCCTGGCGCAAATGCTCAAACTCTGCGCATCATGCATCCCTGAGGCTCTGTGGGACAAAATCTCTCAGGAACATATCTGAAAACTAGGTCTAAGTCAGTGAAGCTGCCTCATCCGGACTGTCTAACTCATAGGTGCGCCACTACTCATAGGCGGCTCCTCGAAGCTGGAAGCCAGTGAAAGAAACCCCACTCGATCCTGATATACCTATAGTGCGGAGGATACGGTGACACTCCTCCAAAAATCCCAAGGCATCATCTGCTGCTAACCCACTGAATATAGGAGGATCATACTTCTTGAACCTCTCAAGTCTCCGTTGCTCATCCTCTGAAGCCGCTGACCCGTGCCCGGGCTGACCTGGGACTACAGGCTGTATAGGAATAATCTTGGGGACCTGATCAACATGCACTCGCTGCTCAGGAGTGCGAGCGACGGGAGTCTGTGCTCCTCCCCCCGCCTGAGATGTGGCTGCAGCAAGGGGAAGCAACCCTGCCTGAGCCAAAGTGGTGTACATGCTCATGAACTGCGCAAGAGTCTCCTGAAAAGCTGGAGTAGTAGTAGAAGTAGGCATATCAGGTGCCTGGACTCCGGCTGGAACTGCTGGTGGTACCTCGGTGGCAGCTTGTGCAGGTGTTCTGGCTGCACCCCGTGCGCGTCCTCGACCTCTACCCCGGTCCCGACCTCTGACGACTCCAGTAGGGGGCGCGGGTGCCTGATCATCTCTGGTAGCACGTGTCCTCACCATCTGTAAGAGAATGGAGACAGAGGGTTAGGGTTGTGATGTCAAAAATCTCGCACGATAGGGAATCAAATGAAATGGAATTTTCCTAACGGTTACATAGCCTCTCGTAGATAAGTACAGACGTCTCCGTACCGATCCGCGAGACTCTAATAAACCGGCTTGTGATTCATGACTCCTATGAACCTAGAGCTCTGATACCAACGTGTCACGACCCTGGTTCGCCCTCCGTGAACCATCATGACGGCACCTAGTCTCTACGACTAGGTAAGCCTAACAATGCGGAATATAAACAACAATTGCAGAAGAAATAATTTAAAAACCGAAATAGTAAAATAAAACAGCGTTTAAGATGCCGCCTGGCACATAACAGTACAAAATCTAAACCTAACACTCCCAAAATCCGGAAGCCCATGAGTCACAAGCTAAGAGATACATAAGAAGCTCTAACTCCAAAAATGTCTAGCAAAAGGAAAACTACTGAAGGGATATACTATTACAAAAAGATAGAAAGGGACTCCTCCGTCTGCGGACGCGGCAGATATACCTCGAAGTCTCTACAGAAGCGCCTCGCCTCAAGGATGATAAGACTGAATGGAAGTACCTGGATCTGCATAACAAAAATATGCAGAAGAGTAGCATGAGCACACCACAGCGGTGCCCAGTAAGTATCAAGACTAACCTCGGTGGAGTAGTGACGAGGAACAGTCAAGACACCTACCGGTCCAATAAACTGTACAAATATAGGAACAACGGAACATGATGTATATATAAACACTACACGAAATGGCTAACAATACTACAATCACAATAAGGGAAGAAAACAGCAAGTAATAGCGAAAATACCAAAATAATGACATAGAAGGGCGAGCAAAAACACAAACCCAAATCCTAAATTCACACTACAGTAAAGGTAAGTAATAACTCAGGTCCTACGACAGTGTTCACATCAGGTCCTATCCAACAATTTCCACGAAATATCGAATCTCGGACAAATTACAGCTCACGATGTCCCATGTACCTGAAATCTACCACTTGGCATCCTGTGCCCCCATCAACCTCATGGTCATGCTAACAACTCACTTGCTAACTAGATCCACTCTCACATATATAACAAGTAAACGAGGGTATGCATCTATACTCAGCAATCAGGAGGACTTCACATCCAATAGGAGTGTTCAACTACATGTATGCTTGTGCAAGTGCTTTAACATAGTTCCTACCAGCTAATAAGCGTAAGGAAAAGAACGGACAACACGTAAGATGTTTCCTCACAACTTCCACGAGATAAAGCTCGTACAGGTAAGCGTACCACAACACAATATTAAACAACAAGAATGCCCCCAGGCCATTACAAATCATCACAATCAATCCCTGACATAGCCCACCTTGTCTCGCCACGTGTGCAAATAATAACATAATGAGTGCCCGCCTTGTTTTGCCACACGTGCATCATAATGTTCCCACCTTGTCTCGCCACATGTGCAACCCACATATAAGCTTATATGTATATACATACCCCGCCTTGTCACACCGCATGTGCAATGTATCAATAGTAGCAATAGCACGGCAGAAATCTCGTGCAACCCCATAACAGCAGCCGCACGACAGAAACCTCATGCATCACAATATCAACAACCGTACGGCAGAAACCTCGTGCACCACCACAACAAGTACAACAGCAACAATGACAATATATACAAGAACAAGACAAGTAAATCAACTCAAGAACTTTCGATCAAGAGGAGACGGTAAAACTAGCTCACAAGGAATAACCACAATAGAGAATACTAAGCGTGATAAGAACAGCTCAACAAGGGAGAAAATAATATGAAGCAACGATCCCACAATATGTAATTCAACAACATGGAAGCTAACACGAATCAAATAATTCCAAATAAGGAAATGTCCACTAAATATAGATTATCTAAACTTCTTTTAAGGTTGGGCAATTTACAAAG